ATTATATATATATATATATATATATATATAACCGAGATTAAGATATACAAATACGGACATACACAGCATCAATACCATCCAGACAAGTAAATGGAGGTGCACTTAGAGACTACAGAGGTAAATTCAATTTATATATAGTTATCTTCTTTCTACAATTTAAAGGATATATTAATACTAACCACCATTCGCAACACCATCAACTGCGTTGCTGCCCAGGTGCAAGAACAGCTGCTCAGCATACGACCGGTAGCTCCAATTCCTCTCGGGGCCACCTCCATCTCGAGGATCTGCTGCCGTTGCTGCTACGCCTGCTGCACCTGCTGCTGCTGCTGCTGCTCCAGCAGCAGCGGTAAAACTGACAGAGAATGATGCTGAGCGCCGCGGCGGTTTGGGCCACTCAGAAGGAGATGGCTCTCGTTCCTTCTGCTGCTCCGGGTGCTGTGTCTGAGGATCACTTTCTTCTGCAGACGTCTGCGGACCTGCGGCTGCTGCACTGGCTGAACCTTGCCGTCGGGGAACGGAGGACTCTCCGGCCCCTCGTCCTACTGCAGCAGCTCCTGCTGCAGGAGATGCTGCTGCTTCTGCAGTTTCATCTTTACGCGGCTCAGCTGCTACTGCCTGCATCGGTGAGCTGCCCTTTTTACCAGCAGCTGCAGCAGTAGCTGCTGCTGGCGAAGAGTCACCTTTTGGCTTGGCCGCCTGTGTGGCCCCTCCTCTTGCTGCCGCTGGTGCACCAGATTCTGCTGCAGCAGCAGAAGCTGCAACAGCAGCAAAAGTGCCGGAAGCCGATGCCGGTGCGCTGCGTGTTATCGGCGAGGAAGGAGCAGCGGCTGCAGTTGCTGCTGCAGCAGACGAGCTGTCCTTAGGTGGTCCGCTTGGCGCAGCAGCAGAAGGAGCAGCAGCAGCAGAGCGGCTGCATTCACCAGAAGTGAATTCAGCTTCTGCCCCTTGGGGCTCGTCTCCACGTTCCCGCTCCCGATCCCGATCCCGACTTGTTGTAAAGTCCTCGACACACACCAATTCGTTGTCCAATGCCTGCATGCACACGGAACAGCAGCAATTCATAGGCTCTCGAGTTGTAAATGTTTAGAAAGGGTGATCTGCAGGTTAATACCACTACAAGCACTATACTGCAGCGCAGCATAAAGAGAGTCTGCTGCAAATTACAAAGGTGAGGAGTAACTGTATTCTATCTGCCAAATCATCTGCTCTCCCTGTGTTTGCAATTAACAAGACCGAAATATTACCTGCTGGAGCTCCGGTGCCAGAGGCGAGGTAGCGGTGATCGGTTTATTGCTGTCATTGCTGTCTGGGGAGTTGAAAATAAGCAAACTTGAATGCAAAAACATCCGCCCACACCAAACGCGATCTACTGCTGCCAAGCCACCGTAACAGTACTTCAAGTCGCCAACCAGTGGGTGCCCTAAGTGTTGGAAGTGCACTCTGCACACAGCAGCAGCAGCATAACAGAAGCAGAACCAGAAATACCAGCAACAGCAGCGCAACTAGGAGCCGAACCGGAAGTAGAAAAAGACGACGAAACAGCAACAGAAACAGAAATAACGGCGAAGCCGAAAAAACAGTAATGACGCACCGAATCTGGTGCGTCCTTCCCGTATGGATTTTGACGCGACAGAAGCTGAATTCCTGGCTATAGGTAAACTCTTTGCTGCTGCCGCTGCTGCTGTTGTTGTTGTTGTTGCTGCTGCTGCTAGCGGCCTTGGAGCTGGAACCCCTTTGCTGGGCTGAAGCCGCTGCAGCCATTCTGGTTGCTGCAGCAATAGCAGACACTATCTTGGGATCGTTAGGCCGTTTTAGCTTATAGACTTTCAAAAGGCGGAACTCCGTGAGCGCCTCCTCTCCTCCCTCGTGAGGGCCAACAACGGCAGAAAAATGGCTTTTAGATCTGCAGGTATCGAAGTCCCTATTAAAAAACAAGAAGCAAATGCAAAAATACGAACATAAAATCAAACCCAGCGAGAAAAATACGAGAAGACAATGGTACAGATCAGACCCAGGTAATGATGCTGTGAAGTTCTACTCTCAAGCAGTACCTCGTGGCTATTGGGTAGTCTATTTTGCCGTATTTCTCCGCCAACCGTCCATGACACAGCAACAAGTACTCCTTGTGGACCGATCTACGTCGGAACTGCTCAAAGATAATATCTCTGGCTCTGCCACAAACCCACATACAAGCAAACAAACAACAGAGAATAAACAGAAGGAAAGAAATCTAGCTTAATAGTAGGACAACAGCAGACAAGAAGCACTAAAGTCTGACGGACAGCACGGCAAGAATAATGAAAGACCGAAATCCACCAAATGCATATATACGTATACACGCATAAATGCGCTCACACTATAACAAAAAAACAACAAAACCAGGATAGGATAATACACGAAAATTTCGTCAAACAAAGCAAAAGACAAGGGCGTGGTGCATGCACAACTCACCTCCGCGTCTTGGCAATGAGGAGCGAGCCAGAAGTTTCTAAGTCCGTGCGATGGCACAATCCGCATTCCATCTCCTCCCAGCGGCGCACCGTCTCTAAACGTGGATACTGTAGCAGAAGCAGCAGCAGCACAGGCAACATCAGCAAATGCTAATCAACGAAGCACAGACACTAGACGAGACACACAGCAACGAAGGAACACCCAAGAAGAAGAAGAAGCAAAAGTGTCACCGGCAGAGGAGGAGCCGCAGCAGCATGAGCTACAGGAGATAGAGAGTGGCAGCAGTAGCAGCAGCACCTCAAATAGCAACATTCGCAGATACTCATAGGCAACACACAGGCAGGAAAAAATAATAATAGTAGTAATCATCAGCAGCAGGGGCAGCAGCTGTTGCCGCAGTAACTGCTGCTGCTGCGTCCTACAGGACATGTATGTTCTTACCTTTTTCATGAGGTAGAGATGGAAGCTTTCTACCTTCCCGCTGGAGACGAGCTCCTCTAAGCTGATGTGCTGCAGGGCCTGCTCGATATCTTCGCTGTTAAGCCGGGCTGAGGATACACTCGAAGATCGGCTAACACCGGAGCAGTGCCAGAAAGCGGGCTTGTATATAACAAGCCAGCTGGCTCCTTCAGCAATAACATAGGGAGACGCCTTCTTGAAGACCCTACGGCGGCTGCTGCTACTGCTTGTGGAGGTGGTGATGGCATTACTACTGCTGCTGCTACTTCCTGTGCTAGTGGCGGTACCGCTACTGCCGCTGCTGGCTGCGGTGGCTGAGGTGGCGGACCGGGTGCTACCTTGCTGCTGCTGCTGCGGCTCTGCCTGCATGCGGTGTACAGGAGAAGGAGAACCCTCTCCATACAACTCCTCCTCTTCTACCTCGGACTCGCAACGGTCTGTCAGCCATTCGGCAACAGAACAGGAATCCGTGCTGCTGCTGCTGCTGCCTGCGCCGCGACGTACACCTGATGCACCGCCGCGACGTGGAGAGCTGTCAGCTTCTGCTGCTGCTGCTCCCGTTCCTGCTGCTGCTGAAGATGACCCCCACGGCGCTACACGGTGTCCAGCATGCGACCTGCCTTCCGCCACATGCGCCCACATGGGTGCTGCTGCTGATGCTGCTATTGCTGCACCTGATGATGCCGATGCTGCTGATTTCCGCTCAATTTCTTCTACATCCGCTGCAGCGTCATCTTGGACGCTGGACAGTGCAGGAGATCCTGCCGCCCGTGCTGCCGCAGAAGAGGAATCCTGCGACGCTGCTGCCGCCGCCGCTGCTGCCGCCGCAGCAGCAGGTGCTGCTGCTGGATAGGCTGCAGCAAGGATAGCAGGAGAAGCAAGAGAAGCAAGAGCCCCTGAGAGACCAGCAACCCGAGGCAAAGTCAGCTGGGTAACCTTCACAGAGTAAAGCCACTTAAGAAGCACTGCAACAGCCCACGCCACTAACGCATCGACCCCTCCAGCTGCTGCTGCTGCTGCAGGAGCAGCAGCACCGGCAGCAGGGTCGCCTGCGAGAAGAAGAGGAACACAAGGATAGGAAGATGGTGCGTTAGGTGCAGAAGGGAGTTGTAGCAAACAGATATCAATCAGCCGCCTCGAGACAGAATCAAACAGCCGCCTGCCTTGCTGAGACTCCCCCAAGCGCGAAAGATGGCGCGGGCCTAGGACCAGCCACATGCATGCAACTGCTGCTACCTTTAGGCTGCTGCTTAAGTTCCTGCTGCTCAAACTCTTGCTGCTCTTGCTGCCACCACCGCCGCCAGATCCGCTGCTACTGCTGCTTCCGCTGCTGCTGCTGCTCCCGCTGCTGCTGCTCCCGCTGCTACCAACGCTGCTGCTGCTACTGCTACTGGCTGCAGCTGCTGCTGCCTTATCTAGGAAGGCGTGACAGTGCAACGCCAGAAGCTTTCTAGATATTATCATGCCGCTCCGCCCCACAGCTAACATTGCAAACAACTCAGACGCAGCCAGACCCCTCGGAGGCAGAAGACGCCTGAAGGCAAGGAAACGCAGGTCTGCTGCACTCAAGGAATCTAAACTGGTGCTGCTGCTGCTAGAGCTGCTGCTGGAGCCGCTGTTGGAACCGCTGCTAGGGGAGGCGCCTTTGCCACTGCTGCCCCCAGGCGCAGCCACGCCGCTGTAACTACTCGATCGGCCCTTTGTGGCCGTCGCTGCTGCCGCTGCTGCAGCTGCAGTTGCTGCGTCCTCTGCTGCTGCTGCACCGCCCTCAAGAGCCTGCAGCAGAGACACCTCCAGGTGCATCTGGAGCTGCTTTGCAAACAGGGGCCGCTGCTGCGAAGATAAGCTTGTGGCGCTAATCCGATCCAGCAGCTCAGCCGCCTGCAGCAGCACCTCCCCGGCTACGGGGCTGTCAAGCGGACTTCTTACGCTTCCTGTTGCTGGTGCTGCTGGTGCTGCTGCTGCTGCTGCGTGCGCTGCTCCAGATGTCAGTGACGGTGAAGACCCAGCTGCTGCGCGTTTGGAAGATCCAGCTGGGGCAGCAACGGTGGCTGTGGTTGCTGCTGCTGCCTGTGGAGAGCTTCTGCTTGCTTGCACCCAGGGTGCAGCAGCAGCAGCATAACTTCCTGCTGCCTCTTGGGCGATGTGTGACAGGACAGATTCAATGACGTCAGCAGCAAGAAGGCGCAGCGCCTCCTCATCAACTTCCCTGGCAGCTGTCAGCCGCTGCAGCATCTCCAGGCTCTGCGGCTGCAGCAAATGCCGGTGTGGCAGCTCTGCAGCTGCTGATGCTGCTGCTGCGTCCGATGACAAAGGAGACAGAGGTGCTCCTGCATCAACTCCCTCTTCTGCTGTTGCTGAATCCGCAGGCTCCTGCTGCTTCTCCTGCTGCTGCTGGCGTTGCGTAGCCCCTCGAGCTGCCTTGGGCCCCAATGGAGGTTGCGGACTTCCAGGGGCAGCGGCTGCTGCTGTTGTTGCTGGTCCTGCTGCTTCTGCAGTTGCTGTTGTCCCCGCAGATGGAGAAGCTGATGAGGCACCGCGCTTCTGAGTTTCTGTGTCGCGAGGTTTCTGTGCTCCTGCTGCTGCTGTACCCTTCTTTCCTGCTGCTGCCGCTTGATCAACCTGTGGGGTGCCCGTAGCTGCTGCTGCAGATCCGGACTCCGGTGTTGCGGAAGCAGCAGCACCGACGCGCTTCTGCTGCTGAAGGGCTTTCTCCTTCTGTTTCTTGAGATCTGCTGTTGCATCGTCCTCTCCTGCTGCTGCCTTTGCTGCTGGGGTCCGCAGATGCTGCTGTGAACTTGCAGCGGTAGCTGGAGCTGCTGCTGCTGTTGCTTGCTTCTTGTCCTGCGCCTTGACAGACGCTGCAGCAACAGTTTTAGGCGTCTCCTTAACTTTGTTTCGACCCTCTACTGCCGCCTGCTGCTGCTGTTGCTGTTGTTGTTGCTGCCTTTTGTTCCGGCCAGACTGCGGTTCTGGTGACGGGCCCGATGCTGCTGCTGCTGTTTTGGCCGTTGCTGATTTCGTTGCTGTTCCTTTCGTGGCATCGGTTGCTGCGTCCTGATCTGCCGATGGAGCAGTAGCAGTAGCTAGTGCTGCTGCCTTTGCTTTTGGTGCCCCACCAGCTGCCGGCGACCCGGAGCCTCGTTTAGGAGCATCCGTTTGAGCTTTTCTTTCAGAAGAAAGAGCAACAGGAGCACTAGGAGTTGCCGCTGCCGCAGCATCTTCCGTTGGTGAGTTGAATGTCGTCTGCTCAATCTTTTCTCCGTCTTCTTTCTCTGCTCTTCTGCTGTCCTCTGCTAGCTTTGCGATGACGCTTTTCTTGTTTGTAGGGATAGCCTGTCTTAATGGGGCCTTCTTTGTCTTCTTTTTGCGGCGGCGACCTCCTGCACCTTCCTCCTCTGCGGCATCTGCTGCTGCAGCTGCTGCCCCGCGTCCTCCAGGACCTGCGAACAGGCCAGATCCGACAGTTCCGTTGGGGACCAATGCTCGGAAGGCGTTTGCAGCAGCAGCTGCTACTGCTGCTACTGCTGCAGCCGCATTGGCGGGCTCCGTAGCAGCTGCTGAAGAGGAAGCGGTGGAAGCAGCATTTGGCGGCATAGCAGCAGGGAGTGTTATAGCAGCTGTATCAGCAGCACCCTCGAATGCCCAAACTCTGTCTAGGAGAGCAGACGCCTCTCTCTGCCTAATAGAGGCAGGGGACTCAATGTTGACTCTCGGTTGTATAATAATAATGTCTCCCGTCTTTTTATTAATCTTCTTAATTGCACAAGCCCATCTTCTAATGTTTTGTACAGTGCGCTGTTGGCATTCTTCCATTACAACCAGCGCGTCGGGATCTGCAGCAAACTGCTGCTGCTGCTGCTGCGTCAACAGGCCGCTACGAGCAGCACGAGGCAGAACCCACTGCAGCACATATTGCTGCAGCTGCTGCTTCGCGTCGCAAATAAGAGCCCCCAAGCACACTAAGTTTACCGTCTCAGGACAGAACCACTTGAAGAGCAGCAGCGGCCTTTCGCCTGTGTCTTCAGGAGGGAAACCACCACCTAACCCGCTATTAGCACTGCTACTATTATTAGTATTGCCGCTGCTGCTGCGAGGAGGCACGCCCATTATTAACACCGTCACATCCGGCGCTGCAGCATCCAGCAGCAGTCTCCGGTGATCGATGTACGCCTCCACCGGATCGTTGGGATCCATTTGCACAAATCGCCGACGGCCTGCAACACACCATTAAGGTGTCAATGTGCCATATATTTATTCTTTATACTGTATATAATATGTGCTACGCATACAACATATACAATAATGCATTAGATGTGTAATATGCATTATATATATTGTACATCATATGTATTAAGTATATATATTGCAGGCATGTAACAAATATGTCAATATATAAATATATAAGTATACTATGTTCACTACAAATACCATATACATGGAAAAAGGCAGAGAGTGGGAAGAGACGAACAGAGGAAGGAAATGACGAGGACAAAGTAAGAGGAAAAGGAATAGAGACAGTAAGACATGTAAATTACCCTTTCTTGAGGGGTCATTATCTGGTCGAAGGGCAAACAGAAGAAACGAATCGACAGCCGAGGGCTTGAATACAAAACTGGAGTCTTCGTTGCATAATTCTTCCGCCGCTTGGCCACGTACAGCAGAAACACATCCCCACAACTCATCCATATTGCTGCTGCTGCTGTTGCGGAGGGCGGCTGTGGCATCTGCAGGGACAGCTGCAACAGAAGCAGCAGCAGCAAGCTGAGAGAGAATTATTCTTCTTAGCGCACAATAGAGACGACGGACTGTAAGAGGAAAACCTGCGCTGTCTCTCCTCCTTAAGACAAGCCTTTGCCTCGGCAACAAATTGTCCTCAATGCAAAATCCCTCTAAGCCTTCTAAATCTGCTGCAACGACAATCCCTACTTCCACCAGCTCTGGTTCGACCTCAGCTGCTGCTGCTGCTGCGGCGGCGGCGGCAGCGGCAGCAGCAGCGGCACCAGCGCTGCGGTATCCTCCCGGAGCAGTGCATGTAAACGGCAACAAACCAGCAACTGTGCCGCCGCCGAAAGGTCCCAATGCTGCTGCTGCCGCCGCAGCTGCTGCGCTGTTGCTGCTGCTGCCGCTGGTGTACGCGTCGAAGGCCTGTCCCCCAAAACGCATCCCCCCTCGGCATGCCCCTGCCGGCGGGCCATCCGACCCTATAGCAGCAGCAGCAACAGCAGCAGCTGCTGCAGCGGACCGCCTGCACAGGCCATCTGGGGAGAAATCGAGCTCCGGCTGCTGCTGCCTCACCCTCGAGGAGGTGTGATGGGGCCCGAGATCTCGGCCTGAGAAAGGCCGCTGCGGCACCAGCGTCGAATGTATAGACAGCAGAAATATGCGCGGATCTGCTGTAGCTGCTGCTGCTTGGCTGAAAACAATCGAAGGCAACAACAGGTCCAATAGAGGAGGCATACCCAAACCCAGACCCGCTGACGGGCTCGAGCCACGCGCCGCCTTCCGCCGACGTCCACCACCTCCTGCTGCTGCTACAACTGACCCTGCCGCTGCTGTTCCTGCTGCTGAGGGCCTTCCACCTACGCCAACCGGAGCATCGCTGCTGCTGCTCGAGGGCGTGGCGTTGCTGCTGTGGTCGACACCTGCGTCTCCGCTGGCTGCTGATGAGCTCTTTTCAGCACGATTAACATCGGCATCGTCCTCATGGGCATCGTCTGCTGCAGCAGCGCAACTACAACTGTCCGACAGGTGTACGGGAGAGCAGAGGCATGCAGCATCCTTCTCTAATGCAAGCGTAATAGCAATAGCCTGTGCTGCCAGTAGCTGTTTTATTTGTTCAATCTCTTCCTGCCTCTCTGCTGCTGCACGGCACCGAAGAGCGACAGCCAACGCAGTCGCCAAGGCATCGCTTACAGCGGCAGGCAGAGAGGCGCAGCATGTACAACCTTCGCCTCCTCTCCGCCTCTTACCACTGCAGCTGCTGGCACTACTGCTGCTGCTGCCGCTGGTGCTGGTGGTGTGGGCGGTGTTAGAGGGCTTCCTGAGAGGATGGGTGAGGCAAGGGAGCCTCAAGATCTGTGCTGCTTCTGTCTTCAACAGTTCTTTCTGCTGCTCTGTCCCGAAGACAGCAAAGTAGGCAGCTACAATCTCCTGCGGCCTGTGCAGGTATGCAGTAACTATGCGCTGCTGCTGCAGCGCCTGGCGCATGAACTGCAGCGAGGGCAGAGGCCCTAGCAGCAGCCGCAGCCGAGCAACAGCATCGAGAGTGTCGTCCAAGCCACAAAGAGGTACGTACACGGCTGTGTCGCTTGCATGGGCTAACGCGAGCAGCACCTGCGTGGGTCGTAGCGCGCCTGCTGCTGCGGCGGCGGCAGCTGCTGCTGCAGCTTCTGCTGCCGTAGGAGCCGCAGCAGGAACTGCCCCAGCGGCAGCCGAAGAACCACCACTAGCACCACCCCCACCATCAGCAGCTGCTGCTGCAGCCGCCGCTGCGGCTGCTGCTGCTGCGCTGAAGGCTAAGGAGAAGGGTAGCGCAGAGGCGGCAGAATCGCAGCCATGAGGAGACGACAGAATTGCTGCTGCCTCCGCCCCACTAGAGCAGCAGCAGCGCCACAAGTCGTACAAACGCGCTACTACTGCCTGATGAGCAACAGAGGCAGACACCTCACCACCACTACCCTCAAAGTCCAAATTCAATACGTCATCCGCTGCTGCTCCTGCTGCTCCTCCTGCAGTCGATTGGCCCAAAGGCAGTTTCCAGTTCGCTCCCGCCTCTGCACCTGCATCACCTGCTGCGCCAGCAGTAGCAGGGACCCCCTTCTCCTCCTCATCCTGCTGGTCCCGTCTCCGTCTCCGCCGCTGCTGCTGCTGTTGTTCCTGTTGCTGCTGTTGTTGTTGCTGTTGCTGCATGCGTGCAGCGCGGATGTGAATGGCCTGCAGGTACACCGCAGCCTCCTTTGCAAGTGAGGCAATGGTCTCTAGTAGCCTCGAGATTGGTCCACCCAACAGATTTGCTGCATCGCTCAGCAGCAGCTTCCCTTCAGAGTTTATAAGTCCATAGCACTGAGGGGAAGATGCAACCCAAGACTGCTCCCCGCCCCTGCCTCCTGCTGCTGCAGCAGTAGATGATGATGCTGTTGCTGTCGGTGGCGCTGCTGCGTCAGATGCCGCTCCTGCTGTTTCTGGAGCTGCTGCTGCTGGCTGCGGGCAGAATCCATCTATAAACTCATCGAGCAGTAGACCAGCCATTGCAAAGCGCAGCTCCTGCAGCACCAGCAGCTCTTCCTCTTCCACACGGCAAAGCTCCCGAATTGCTGCTGCTTTGTTCTCTCGATCTTGCTCCTGCTGCAGCTGCTGCAGCTGCTGCAGTTGCTGCAGCTGCTGCAGGTGCTGCTCCGCTGCGGCTTGGTCCGAAAGCCCTTCAACTTCCTGCTGTTGCAGCTGCAGCTGCAGCTGTAGCTGTTCCTGCTGCTGCTGCTGCTGTTCCGATGCCAGCGCAATTGCTGCAGCCAACCGCGCCCTCTCTTGCACAACTTCAAGCAACCAAGCAGCCAATGGACGAAACACCCGAAGACGAGCTTCACTCACAACAGACCGCCTGTCGACATCCGGTGCTGCTGGTGCTGCATCTGCATTTGCATCTACTGCTGTTGCTGTTGCTGTTGCATCTACTGCATCGGCTGATGCTGCTGCACCTCCAGCAGCTGGTGCTCCTGCTGTTGCTGTCAAACCTGCAGTTGCTGCTGCCGATGCTGCGGGAGGTTGATCCCATGCACCATCGCCTGCAGTCTCATCTGCAGCATCTGGAGCAGCAGTTGGTGAGAGTGCGGGTTGCGCAGTTAGCACGGCATCGGTTTCCCCTGCTGCTGTTATTGCCCCCTTTTCCTCAGCTGCTGGTGCTGCAGGTGCTGTTGCAGTTTTTGCCTCAGGCTCTGCAGATTCGGCTGCAGGCTGCTGGGGAGATCCGTCTGTCCGCTTCGTTCCTGCATCTGCATCTGCAGCAGCAGGTGCTGCTGCTGTTGGATCCGCTGCCGTTGTTGCTGTGGCAGTAGACCCATGTGTATCTCTACGAACAGATGTCGCACTCTGCTGCGTCGTGTGTGTCTGCATTTGCCTCTGTTGTTGCTGCTGCTGCTGTTGCTGTTGCTGCTGTTGCTGCTGTGGGATGAGCCAAGGTCGTTTGATTTCGGCCTCCGTAACTCCGAGCTCATATAGAACCCTATAATACAGCCAAGGGTTGAGCTGCTTGATATCAACACCGGCTTGAATATCTCCAGCTTGAATGGCATCAATATAATCTTCTGCCATATAAATTGCACCCCCGCAGAAGAAATCTCTATGACATTTCCACTCTGTAAACTCAACACCCGAGCAGAGGCGCTCTACTCTGCCCCCCGCTATTCGAAACCATGGTCCGTCCTCTTCTGGGCGCAGCAGCAGCGAGTAAGAGCCCCCACATCCTCCACTGTCTCCCCTGCTTTCTCCCTCACGTAAAAACAAGGCAAACAGAGAGTACCACTTCTCCCCTCCTCCGCAAACATTTCCCATTCCCTTCCCAACCAACCCGCATCCGCTGTTGCTGCTGCTGCTACTGCTGCTGCTGCTGCTATTACTACTACTATTGGGGGTAGGGGTTGGGGTTGGGGTGGGAGGAGTTGGGCCGCAACCGGCACTCGAACCCGTGGGGCTTCCCCAACCATCGCCTTCGCCTGCAGCAGAAGAAGCTGCAGCTGGTGCTGTCGTTGCTGCTGCTTTTTCTTCGTCGGAAAAGTCGGACTGAGAATCACCGCTCTCCCGATCATCCACACTGCAACGCTGCTGCTGCTGCCGCCGCGACTGCTGCATGCGATGCCGCAGTCGTTTCTTTTGTTTTACTCGAGCCCAAGGAGCAGCAGCAGAAAGCACAGGACGCGTGCTGCCGCTGCCAACTGCTGCTCCTCCTCCCGTTCCATCAACCGGAGAAGCCAGTGAGGCGTCGACTGGCGCCCCCGCTGCCCCTGCCGTGGGATCTGCAGCAGCAGCGGGGGGCGCCGCACCATGAGATGATGCTGCAGCACTGTGCATCTGGGCAGCAGAAGGAGCCGCAGGAGCAGGTGGTGCAGCAGGAGCTCCAGCGGGGTTTGGACTGGAAGCAGCTCGCAGCTGCAGCAGCCCTTGGGCATCTAAGCGAAGAGGAGCATCAAACAACTCTCCTTTCTTTGCTTGTTTAGGAGACTGCAAGTAAATAAACAAAACCTCCGGATAATGATGAAAAGGGCGGCCACAACTCTCCAAAGCTCGAGGCAAAGAATGAATGTGTCGACAACGCGTAAATGAGGCAGAAATATCGGGGCTTCCATCCGGTGCCATGAGGCCGATTGACCGATCGGAGGAACAGAAAAGTTCGTGGCAAGTCGCTTCCAAATGATCGCAAGAACTGTATGGCACCCCTTCATTCTCCCACATGTTGTTGCCGCAACAGCTGCTGCTGCTGCTACTGGTGTTTGCGCTGTGTATGCCAGGATGTTGATCCGGGGTGTCATGCTCGAACTGCTCCTGCTGTTGCTGTTCCCGCTGCTGCTGCTCCCGCTGCTGCTGCTCCCGCTGCTGCGCTCTTTCTTCGAGGCTAGTTTTGGCAATTTCCCTCATTAGGAGGGAAAACAGCTCTGTGTGGACTCGCACGAGCGGGTCGTTCGATTCAATCTTTTGCAAGTCATGCAAATGGAGAGCCCTCAAAATAGAGCGAGTTGATGGAGGAGGGGGCAGAGAAGCCATCACCTCCGGATGTCTGTCGATTAAGTCGCAACAGAGACAAAGAGCATCTTCGCCTCCACCGGCTGCCAAATCCAAACAATCGCCGAAGCCGTCGCGATAACAACAGCCTTCCCCCGCACAAGCCGGCCTGCTGCTGCTGCTGCTGCTGGCGGTGTTGGTGCCCGAGGTGGCCTGTGGAAGTGCAGCTCCAGCTGCAGCAGGTGCCGCTGCCGCTCCCGCTGCTGCTGCTGGTGGAGGTGGTGCTGGTGGTGGTGTTGCGGCTGTTGAGTGTACAGACTGCATATGGAGTTGTGCTGCAGTGCGCAGGAGGAATGGAGAGGAAGGATGGTGGCACTTGCAACAGCAGAAGCATTTCTGGCAGAAGAAACAAAAGCTGGATTTTCTGCTGCTGCTGCTGCTACTGCTGCTGCTGCTGCTAGGGAATCCGAAAGGCAACGCTGCTTCTCTTCTAAATGGGGTAGCAGCTCCTTTAGGAAAGAGCTCTGCACCATACCAACGGAAAACCTCCGACGACCAAGCATCTGCTGCAGCACATCCAGCAGCAGCAAGCTGCTGAAATCGCTTGCATGCAACAGCTACTGGCCACAGAAGCATATAAGCAAATGTATGCTGTAGAGCCCCGATTAAAGTGCCATCAATAAAACTCGGAATCGTAGAAGCCAAAGAAGGATCCTCATGAAGAGCCGCAACAGAAGGAGCAGTAATCTTCTCTGTCCCCCAACGTAAAATCTGGCGGCGGAATTCCCCCAAATGAAACAAACAATGCACAAAGAGCGCTACACAGTCTGCACCGAGTGCAGGTTGTAGCGAAGGGACGAGCGGTTCAAGGTAGGAGAGTAGACTGGTGGGGTTTGGAGAAGTCGGTTTGGGTATATTGCCGCCAGCAAGCTGCTGCTGGGGCCTTGCAGCAGCCCCAGCTGCAGACTGCTGTTGCTGCTGCTGGTCAGGATTCATGAGGTTCGCAGCAGCGGCAGCAGCTGCCGCTGCTGCCGCTAGCGACGCCGAAGAAGAAACATGGTCGAGAGTTTTGGCCGCTCTCTCAGGAATATATTCCCAAGCTCTGTGGGGTCTGTACGTGGGGCCTTTTGACCATAAACAAGCAAAAGGAGGTTCTGCCCTTCCTCTTACAAGGACAGCGCCGTCTTCACTCAAGAAGCCGCTTTGGCGAGTAAGCCGTGCATGGGGGAGCATCTTTTGCCAGCCTCTACTTGTTGCCTCTGCGCTGAATGACCAATGTGCCCAGGAGGTAATACTTTGTTTTGGATCACGGAAGTTGACGACTGTTAACTCGAAGCGCACATTCGGGAAGACCCAGTCCTCCGGATACCAACTCTGCTTCACAGCCTCCAAGAAAACAGACAAATGGGATGCCTCAGAGTCTGTCCCTGCAGTACCCCTCGGGTGTAAGAGAAGGCGAAATACAAATCCTCTGCAACAGCCCAATGCAGGAGATTCAAGATCGTTATGCGTCTTTGCAACCTTCCAGAAATTCCGAACTTCAAACTCCACACCTTGGCCTTCAGATACACCCAAACCTCCTAAACCCCCTAAACTTCCCAAAGCCCCTCCACCATTACTACTACTGCCACCATTGCCACCACTACTACTAATACCGCTGCTGTTGTTACTGCTGTTCTGGTTGGTACTGCTGCTGCTGCTGCTGCTGCTGCTCGCCAGTCCGCACACGCCCACGCTGCCGATAGCAGTGCCACTGGTATTACTGCTGCTTGTGTTGTTGTTGCTGCTGCTTGCGTTGTTGTTGTTGAGGCTCAGACGACCTCCAGCACCGCTGCTGCACACGCCAGGGGTACCAACAGAACGATACATTCCAATTCCACTGCCTACATCGCCCATGCTGCTGCTGCTGCTACTACTGCTGCCGCTGCAACTGCCGGTGCAACCGGTACAAAGTGACGTGTTCCCAGGGCCATGGCCACTGCTGCTGCCGCCGCCACCTTGCCCGAAAGCGCTCTCGCCGCTGTCCGTCAAAGCCGCGTCGCCGCAAACAGCACCAGCACCAGGAGGGGCAGCAGCAGCCCCTGCTGCTGACGATCGATGCTCTGCTGCTCCTCCTCGTGCGTCTCCTGCATCCCCCCCGTCGAAAACAGCAGAACAGCGTGCACACTCACCCGCAAAAGCGCTAAGGCCTGCTGCTGCTGCTGCTGGCTGCGGCTGAGCTGTCAGCAACCCCCCCGAAGGCGCCGCTGCTGCTGGCAGCAAATCCGAGTTGTACATAAACGCCTCCGCTGCTGTGCCTTCACTGCTGCTGCGGCTGCTGCTGCTGAGGCCCCGGGAAGGAGGAGGGACACCAAAGCACGTACCAGCAGCAAGGTGCTGGTCCTGCTGCTGCGCTGCTGCTGCTGCTTCGAGAGGCAAGACGGAGGCTGCCGCGATGCCCCCAAGAGCCAAGTTCCTGCAACTGCTGCACGCGCTGCAGCTGGCAACACCGCTGCGGCCCCCCGCTGCTGCTGCAGCAACAGCTGCAGCAGCATCTTCCTGCAAATCCTCGTCCTCAAGCCGCAAACCGTCTGCTGGACCCAACAGCAGCGGGGCAGCAGCAGCTGCTGCAGCAGCGCAGCAGGGGCGCCGCACTGCCACAGCTCGTCCGCCTTCCACCTCCTCCTCCACAGGAGGTGTGCTGCTGCTGCTGCTGCTACTGCCTGCTGCCGCTGCTGCTGCTGCTGTTGTGTCGCAGCGAAGCGGTATTAACAAAGGACTCGAGAAACTCTGCGTGGCGCCGCTGCCACCCCGCACGGCCAACACCCGACGCTCAACAACAGGCACTGCAACACGAACGCCAAACAGTAAACTATAGACCCTTGATAAAGACGCGAACCAACTGTACAAAGTATATATCGTGGTTTAAGTTTAAGGCCTCAAGGTTTACCAGCTTAAGGTTGTGGAGGGGTTGTGTAAGGGTATAGGGTTAAGGGTTTAGGGTTTCTGCTTGCCTCTATGCGATGCGGAACCATTGGCCTGCGTCTGGTTTCTTGCAATCGAATTCTTCTCGAATTCAAAGGAGGGAGCGGAGCTGCCGTTGTTCCCCATCTTGACTACTACTTCTGCTGCTGCTGCTGCTGCTGCTGCAGCGGCCGCTGCTGGAGCAGCAGCAGCCGAGAAGGCGCAACGGCAGACCACAGGGGAGGACGCCTTGAGGTGTACATACACCCCACGACTCCGTTCCCCGCGTCTCTTTACTTTGCGCTACAAATACTGACAATGGCGGCGCACCCCTTCCTGCTGCTGCTGCTGTTGCAGGGCTGCTCCTGTCGTCGCTGCTCCCGCTCCTGCCCCTGCTGCAACTGAATGGCTGTTAGTGCAGCAGTAGCAGCAGCTAGAAAGAAAAGCGTTATAAGGTCAAACCGCAGCACCACGGCTTGTACACCTGCAGCGCCCACAGCAGCAAACCTCTAATCCCGATGTCCTTGCCCACCTGCTTTCAATTGTATTGCGGTGAGGTTATGGTGCCAGCAAGCTATAACCTGAAACCCTAAACCCAAAACCGTAGACCCTAAATCCTAAACTGCGTGTGCAAGACATCGAACCCCAAACACGGCACAGGCAGAAGCAAGACCCTGCTGCTGTAGAATTGGAGCAGCAAAACTCAACACGGCGCGAGGCAGCTGTTCAATGGCAGAATCTAGGTGACGGGGTGGCTAAGGGGCTACTGTCGCTGCTGCTGCTGCTGCAGTTGCTGCTCCTGCCCTTGCTGATGCTATTGCTGCTCGTCCGGTTAACAACGCAAGCAGCAGCAGCAGACACACGCTGCAGCAGACACCACTCTCAAGAGAGTGAGGCACAAAGGGCTCCGGTGAAGACTCACGTGCTGCTAATGCCAATCATGCGTCGGTTACTGCTGCTGCTGCTGCTGTCGCTGCTGCTGCTCCTCCTGTCCTGCTGTTGCTGCAACAGGAGCAGCCGCTGTCGTCCCCGCTTATCTTATTCAATCCAAAAAACTCGAAAGTTAGTTTTCTGCCGCTGCTTCTGCTGCTGCTGCTGCTGTTGCAAGGACGCCAACAGCAACAACAGCAGCGGTAGCATGCACAGAGGCAGAAGGCGTGTTGCTGTTGCTGCTGCTGCTGCTGCTGCTGCGTGAGGGTGCTGCTGCCACGTCAGTGACGAAAAACTGGCTGTTCAGTGATCCCCCCAGCAGGTGAAAGAATTTAAAATACCTGAAAGCCCCAGAGCAACGCGCGGGCCCGGAAGAGCAGCAGCAGCAGCGGCGGCGGCCGCCGCCGCTGCTGTTGCTGCTGTTGCTGCTGTTGCTGTTGCTGTAGTTGCTGCTGCGCTGCTGTCCTGCGGCGGCAACAGCTCCCAGCACTATCCAGCAACATAAAAATACCCTAAAATATGTTATTTCTGCATTAATTAATTCCCTCTTTTCCTGAAGCAAAGTCTTGCTGCTCTAAGCTGTGCATGGACCCGAACGCGACCGACGGCCCCGAAACAGCAGCGGCATTTGGGTAAACCCCACATCACCTTTTACTGCTTTCCGACATCCCCACTGTATTAAATGTGTTTTAATTGTTAATTTAATCAAAAAGGATTATCTTAAATTATTAAAAATTGCATTAAAATAGAACATTGGCCTCGGAGGCAACATCCCGTTTCCGCCGCTCCCCTGTGGTGCTACTGGAGTCAAGAGGGATTACAGCGGTTCGTTTATTGTTGTTGATTGCGTCGATTATGTGTTCCCTTAAATAACTATAATGCTAACCTAAATATAATGGTGGCACCTTTAACCGCTAAGACCAGTGGTGAGGTCATTGACTAGCAGGAACCGCTCCTTGAGGTGTATACGCAGCTCCTGCAGCGGCGCAGAGCAGGCGCCTGCTCTGGCGCTCTGTGGGGGATACAGTGGTGGACTTTGCGTGTGCTCTGTTAATAAGTTGGATTCGTTTGGTAAACAAAATTAATAATTAATTCGAATAAAAAGGAAGAAGGGAAGGAGCGATCCGACTCCCAAGTCATACTTGACGAGGAGGGAGGCCGTCCCGCCCTGTAGTACACTCCACAAAATTTAGAGGTTGTCTACAGGAAGGAGTTGGTAATGCCATCAACTTCTGCTGTCCGCAGAGGCGTGTGTAGGACGACACCAAGTATTCAGGCGTGTTGATGCGCAGAGTAGAGACAACCAGGGGGGTAGACTCTGCTGTTTATGACACCTGAAAATTGATTGACAGTGTTTCTAGTATAGGAAGCGGAACATAGAAGGATAGGATTGTCCCCCTATGTTTAGGGGATATGTGTTGCAGCAAGCCAGCCACAGAACCTGCTAGGGGAGGACGGGTCAGTTTTTGTGGGTATTAGAACAAAAATAATAACTATATCTATCGCATCCAATAGGAGGCATATTCTTGCTTATACGCTGTGCAAAGCCCTTCACTGCACGGATTATTCTTCTGTATTACCTGGGATAAATCCCAACCTGGTTGCTGCATGCATCCACGCGGCAGAGAAGTATTAAGGGTTCCGAAGAAGTTGTAATAGAAGGGTACCTGTTCTCCCTTACCCCCGTTTGCCTTATTCACACACCTTCTGCCGCTTTCCCCTCTGCGCCTTAAATACCTCCCGGCAAGCCGCGATACATTGCATCTGTCTCTCTGTCTATAGGGGAGACAAGCTGTAGTACGTTCAAGGGAACATAACCTATTCCGTGCTGCTAGCGTACTGAGTAGTTCAATTTGGTCCTTCGCCTGGCTTTGGCGTGTACGGGCAGTTTCTTTGCGTATTCCAAGGGGGTAAATTCACTTACTTCCCCTCTGTGTATTTCCTCCCATACGGAGTCTGAAACCTATAGTTGCATGTTCCTGTAATTTCGTATTTGAACGGGGCTGTGTTGCTTATGTACTGTATTTAGAGCAGCCAGTTGCAAACATACTCTTAATGGCATCGGCCAGGGGAAACAGTTGTAGGGAGTTGAATCTAGAAGTCAGCTAAGTTAAAAGTGCGAGGGGCATTCTAGATATGCGAATAGGTAAAGAAAACAATTGAACAGAAAAGATAAATAAAGCCCTGAAATCGGATGTTTGTTTCCCCTATCCCCTCACTCATTCTCTTTCTCTCTCCATCGGCTACTGTGCATACACGTCAACTCGACAATCTTGTCTCGTTTCAGCGGTCTGCATTTTATGCGTCTACTGGCTTTTTATGAATAATAAAAGCCTTAGTAAGCGATGCATATTTTCTACTTTGTTTATTTCCCTTTATTTAAACTATTTTAGCCCTATTCATTGGCTGCACTCTTGAATCTATTTACCCATTTCCCCACATGGATCGCGAAAGGCAGATGCCAGGGGGAAGAGCCGACTGCAGGCCGCCTGTTTGTCACACAAAGACGCACAAAACAAATAATTTGCATGATATTGAACAAATCAACTCATTCAAGTATTTAAATTAGCAAACAAATATACAAGGAGGCGAGCAAGCCGGCATAGAATCCACCTGAACGAAAGAACTGAAACCGACCGCCAAATGATAGGACTAATATATGAAGCCATTTGGGCAATGGAAAAAGATCGAAAACGAGATAAAATAAAATAAGAGAAGCAAACAGCAAACATTACAGAGAGATCAGGCAGCAAAATTCAGCAAAAGAAACAACCAGCGAATATACACAGGGGGAAACACACAAGAACAAGCACACAGAAGGCCCCAAACATGCAGTGGTAATAGCAACTTAAGAATGGTAATATTAGGAAAGGATAATAAAAAATACTGTTAGGAAGGGATAATAATACTACTGTCAGAATGGCAACAGAGTAGCATAAGTAATACCATAAACTAGGCAACGTAGGCAAAACATACCCTCACGCCTTGGTAGACACCTTCCTGCTGCTTAAAGTGCTGCAGCTGCTCCAGCAGCTCTTCACATTCCGTTAGCGAAGGAATGTCGACTTCTTCAGCTGCTGTTGCTGCTGACGTTGCTGTTGCTGTTGCCGCTGCTGCTGCTTCCTTCTCTGTCACTGTAATGCAAGAAGGGAGATGCTGCACGAAAGCAGCTGGAAGCGGCTCCCCAGCCAGGTGGAAGGCCTTTAGAGCTGACAAACACATGGAATCAAAACAAGAAAGTGCTCATGTCCAATTGTGTAAAAGAAGTGCAGAAAACTGTGAATCTAAAAAAGTGTTGAAAACACCGAAAAACAAAAGGAAGCCAAAGCAAGAAGAAGAAAAGGCTACAAAAGAAAAAACCAAAACCCCAAGAAGCAAACACGAGTAATATAGAGTTTAGAAAGACATTGCGAAAAATATGGACGGTAAGGGGCAGCGGGGAAAGCAGCAGAAGGTGTGTGAATAAGACAAACGGGGGTAAGGAAGATAAGGCACATTCAACTCGGTCACATATAGGCAAAATAAGAAAAGGAAAACCGGAGCAAACGAAAACCAAATGAGGGAGCGATCAGAGGGAAGGGGAGGAGAAAGAAAGGAAAAAACAGAGGAGGGGGAGAGTAAGCAGAACCTAAAAGAAATCCAAAAGGCCAGGCGAGGCCAACGAAAGAATAAAGAAAAAAGGGAAAATGAAACAAAAAGAAGAGGAAAGAAGAGGGAAATGACAAAAGGAAAGAAAGACACACAAGAAGAAACAACTCACCAACAGTTCTGAGAGGAAGATCTGTGGGGTTTGCTTCACATTTGCTGTTGAGCTGCTGCACCAGCGAATCTGCTGCAGCATCAAGAGCCTCCTTCTTGAACTCGACGGGGAAATTAAAGATAGAAGACAGACGAGCCGCCGCCATTTCATGCAAGTCAGAATCAACAGCAGCAATGTCAGCTGCAGCAGCAACAGGAAATAGCAGCAGGAGCTTAATTCCATGCAGCTCAAGAGAAAAAGGGAAAGCAAACGGGCAAAAAAAGACAGTAGGCAATGTGTACCCCAAATACAGCGGCAAGGAAGCAGTCGAATGGACAAATATCAATTAAACAAATGGACTAAACCCAAGTAAACAATATATACTGGAGAACGAAGCATTAAAGAGGAGGATTCCTTTGTGAAAGAAAATGCAAGGAACCAACGAGAGCGAGGGCAGCTTTTTTCATGAGTGTTTTGCTTAACATGCCGTATTTCGAAGCTGTTAAGCAGAAGGAAGGATTGCTCACCCTTTCTACAAAAGTGCAAAAGAAGAGGAAACAACGGCGAATAAAACATATCCACCCGATTTGCAGCATTTAATTTGTCCAGTCGGCACAAAGATAGTATCATCGCCGCCACGGCTCCTGCAAGTAAACGAACAAATCCAACACCAGACAAATAATAAAAATAAATATGATTAAGCAATTGTTTAATAGCGAAAGCACACAAACAAACAAACAAACGGCCGGTAAAGCAATGGGCGGAAAGGCAAGCGAGCAACAAAAACACCAGAAGAATTTAACAAATTAACAAACTGAGCACAGAACTATTAAGAAGAGTAACAGTGCAACGAAAGAAACTAGCATCCGATGGAAATAGGGGGAGAGCAAGGAGCTCAGGAGAGAAGACAAGAGGAGCAACTGAAGATGAGCCGAAGGAACACTATACGAGCAGCATAAGAAACCAAACAAGCAAATACAGAGAGCGAAGGAAAGGGAAATAAGAAGTAAAAGAAGAAAACAACGAACCCTTTCTAAAGGCCAAATGGTAATGCGCTTCCCAAGTGCGGACATCCGAAGAACAACATTTGAGAAGAGGCATCAATATCTTCTCGGCAGCAACAAGGGGTTTCTCTGTCAAGCACTTCGTTGCAGGTTTTTCTTGTGGAGGAGCTTGCTTCTGTTGCTGCTTTGCCGAGCCCCCTTTCTTCTTATTTTGATTGCTGCTGGTGTTGTTTTTGCTGTTGCTGTTGTTGCTGTTGGCAAGTTCGGGGGGGATTTCTATTGAGCCGTCGTGTATACCAAAGTATATCCGCACAGCCTCGCCTGCCGCCTCTCGGTAGTACCTAAATGATAAATGGATCGATTAAAACTGAATTAAATTAATAGATAAACGGATACTGAATGGACAAGAGCAGGGAAGGTACATAAACGAGAGTGATGACAAGGCAGCAAGCCCAAGACCGTCCGCCCTGCCCCCCACAACGAAGTTTGACCCGCCCAGTGGAACATTCCCATAGAAACCCCAAATGCACAACTTAAACAAAGCACAGAAGAGTAAAAAGAAAAGCTGCAAACAAAGAAGGACCAAAGTATTTAAATCACCGCACTACCGTGCGACAGATATGTTGTTGTATTGGAGTCGGACCTGTGGGACCAAAGTTTATCTTGCATTCTTAAGAAGGCTACATACGCCCTGAAGGTGCACTTGCGCATGCAGTAGGGGTGGAAGTCGACTTGATCTTGTTGGATTTCCTGGAAATGTTGAAGAGTATTGGAATATTCTACCAGTGCCTCGGCATGCAAGCCCTTGCGAGACAGTGCTCGGGCCATCTTTAATTCGAACCACATGCACTGAGCCTCAGGTGTCTCTTCAGTATCTCCTAAACGAGAAAACAAACGAGATAAAGAACGCGCTCTCTCCACATCCCCTACGCGCAAAAAGTACGTGACCGCCTTGGAGTTCAAATACCTGCACAAAAAACACAAAAACGGAAACACATATACTGATGACATACTAACACAGTTCAACAACGTCAAACACTCTAAACAAACAAAGAGTGCTAAGAAAACGAAATTAGAGTAACAAAGTTAAAGAAACAACTATACAAGCAAGCACCCGTACCAACGAACAAGCGAATCAGCATACAAACAAACACGCATACACAAGCAAACACACTAACTAAACCGGGTAAATAGACGGAGGTTGTATAGTAATGACGGGAATGCGACAGAACAAACATAGAAGCAGAATAACACTCCAATTTTTGACCGCATGTCTCCGAGCATTAGTAGCAGTAAAGATCAACCAGTTGCCATGCGAATAAATTTTTGCATATTGAATATACTCTATTCCTTAAGTTCGCAATATGTTCTATTAACAACAAAACGGGACGAGTGGACAAACAAACAAACAAATTCAGAGGTGCGAGGTACGACACGTAGCATCCAAGACCAAAGCAACAAGCAACAAGTGGTCTCTAAAACCCTTAAGAAGTGCGAGGTCAGAAAGAAAGAAAACCAGTAAGAAGATCGAAAAAGGGAAGAAGAAGCTAAGAAAAGCAAGCAAACAAACGCCAGCATAAAGAGCAAAGGCCCCTCGTAGTCGACAGAGAGCAAACGCATACACAAAGGAGCAACAGCTAAGAGGCAAATAAACAAACTATTTCACAGCAGCATATACAAATCCCATTTCAATGGATATTCAACAACAAATACGTACCGATCCGCCGTATCCATTTCACGGGCCTTTTCATGCAGTTCTGCTGCAGTCTGATTGTCCCCAATGTGTTTACAAATGCGACCTTTAGCTAAATACAAATCTCCAAACGTAGGCGTGTGCTCAATCGCCTGTACAACACATAGTGCAAGTAGGAACAGGTAGTGGCAATCCTCCCAGCAGGAAGCATAACTATTGTAACAATGATGATGACAATGGCAAAAACAACAGCAACAATAATTGCAATAATTGTAATAATACAATCACAAAGACACACCAACAATAATACACTAACAACCCTAAAACAATGATAGTAATAACTAGTACAACAACAATAACAATGAAAAAGGCAATATTTTTACATGTATGTACAACTTCTGATGGGAGTTTGACGGTGTATATGCTGATGTATTAGAGTCGCATTTGAAGTGTATGCCTAGGTTTGAGGTGTATGTCCAGGTGTCTGTGATGCATGTCCAGGAATGTAATTTTTCTCACCTTGTCGATGATTGCCAGTGCTTTTTCAGTCTGTCTAGTGAAGTCGTAGTGTTGGGCCAGCAGCAAATAAGTATAGAGGAGGCAATAACTCATTTCTTCTGGGCAGGTATCATTCACAACATCGTTACTATTGGCTGCAGCATCACCAGCAGCAGCCCTAAGGGGTTCATTATCTTCCCGTTTGTCTGTAGTTGCTGCTGCTGTTGTTGCTGTTGTATTTCTGTTTCTTGTTCCAAGGAGTTTTCCAAATGTTGAAGGTTTCTTCTCCAAGTTCGTGACGTAACTCTCAATGACAGAGGTGATGAGGTGGACTCTGTTTCGGGTGTACAGGCGTCGGATAGCCGCAAAGATAGAAACAACTCCTTTGCGCAGCATTGGCCGCAGAAAATGGTCCAAAGCAGCTACAAATCGGTCGCCAGTGAAAAAGGAAAGAGGCAAATAATCCAGCAAGGGAAAAGGTGCTAACTCCCGCTGCAGGTCTGAAGATAAAACGGAAAAAAAAGACACATACCTAACAGCAAATACTAAAAACACAGAAATGCACACGCCAGTATACACTGGCAAGTGAACACAAGCAAATGTAAGCGAACGCATACCGAACACAAGAAAACACACACTAGCATTTAAAAACAGCAAAAACAGCACACAGAAAGTACGAACAGAAAGTACAGAAAAACGCAAATAATACAGAAATCATGCATACGCATAAAACAAGAAAAAACCGGAAACGGACAAAAGCAATTCACATACACAGACAAGATGGTACACATACAAAATAAAAAAGATAAAAGCTTAAAAGGCAATATAACAAACAAACAAAGGCAACAAACATACGTGCTGAGCCATAGAAAGCCAGAAACAATAAACGAGCAAGACGAGTAAACATGACAGCTCGACAGCCAATATAATAAACGTACATGTCTAACGGAGTTAATACAATAACCAAACACGCAAACGTTAACTTAGCCAACAAACAAATGAAATACGCACCTAATAAAGTCAATGCAATACAATGCAATACACAAACAAACAGAGCCAAGGGGAAACAAACGGCAGAAGAAATAAAACCATGGATGCGCAACGGAGCGCTGTCGATACCATGTAAATGTGCTTTTAATAGATTCAATAATTAGATAATAAGCAAATGGATTGGTAATCTCCCTTCTTACGTTCAAAATAGCTGGCAATGAGTTCCTGCTCCCTCTCTGTGGGCTCGCGTGTTACTCGGATGGAGTGGGGGGTGAGGGTGCGCTTGCTGTAGAGTTTGGTGATGTTGCATTCTTTTCCGTTTTGTTTCGCTTCTGTGCACACTCTTCGTTCTTCTCGCGGTCGCCAGCCATTAATAAGACTCATAGCCTTCTCTTTAACCTCAGATTCCTGTGCTGCCTGTCTACTGAAACAAGAAGGCAGCCAACCCGCTCGGTCTTCTCCCGAAGAACGCAACGCACACGGCAACAAATACACAAAGCTCTCCTCACCCATCCGCTCAAAAATCGAACCCGATGACAACTGCTCCCTGTAAAATACACACAGACAATGCAAATAGATACATTTAGTGTGCAGCACATGGATTGTTTGCATTATATATTATATTAAATGTATTAAGCTGCTAAAATGTGAATCCGATAAATGCAGCCATGATAGTTATGAAACTGCAGGGAAGGATGTGTGCAGGCACTCTGCACACGACCATGCGGACAAGCACTGTATAGCAGCAGCAACAGCAGCAACAGCAGCAACAGCAACGGCAGCAGCAGCAACAGCAGCGGTTGTCCTGCTGCATGCATTCTGTGTGCGTACAGTTGGCGATAGGCGAGGGAGTCGGCCCTCCCCATAGCGCCGTTGAAGGAACAGCGCGGCAAAGCGAAGAGTTTTCGTATCTCTTCATTCTCGTCACAGGCCATAAGGCAGAAGACATAACACTCGTTATCTTTGTTATTGTTTATCAGTCGTCGGTACGCCTTGCGCCCCGTATCAAACTGACGCAAGAAGATTGACAAGCGACCCAAAGCCTCCAGCAGAGATGTCTCGTCCAGGATGTTCCTGCAACCAAACACTAAACCCCAAGCCCTAGACGTCAAGCGCGTCAGTGCCCAACCAAAAGCTTGGGCCAGATGTTCAGCATGAAATTCCAACAGAAGCAGCCGAGATTGCAGAAACCAAACCATGAACCCTAAACCACAAGCTCCCTAAGCTGTAATATGTTTGAGGGGACCCCGTGACGGGTGAGGACTTGACTTGTACGGACTGTTCTCGACTGGAGAGATATTCATAGCACTCTTTGTATTTTCCCATCTCTTCTAGGAGAGAAGCGCGATAAAGAATTATTTCGCTCTTCTCAAAGGCATCTAAATCCCGAGAATCCGCAAATTGCTGCTCCACCTCGTCCAAAATCTCCAGCGCAACCGTCAGACGACCAGCCTGTTCACAAAGCAAGCACAGACATACAAATAAATAAATGGCTACATCATTGGCACACGCAATTACATTCACAGGGAAGATGCGTGATTCTTTGTTTTCATAAACCTTTTCAAGGCAGAGTTGGAGAGATTTAGCAGCAGCGATTAGCACCGGCAGCAAATAAAGGCCACATGGATAGCTACATCCGCAAGCAAACCTCCACCCCCCCCAACCCCCCCCC